TCCAGGTATTGGATTGAATCAATATTCCAGGTATTGGATTGAATCATGAAAATTAAAAGATTGAATTGAACCAAAAATTTTATTTGCCATTGGATTGACTGCCTTTTTATATTTATTAAAGGATTAAACATATATTGCAAGGATTAAATTTTGCTACAAATGGCTTGCCATAAGGAAGGCCAATTTAAGCACTAAAACCTGCTCGAATTTATCATAATTGATAGAAAACTAGAAATTGCTCAGAATGTAAAAAGTTGCTCAAATGTTGCTCCAAATGTCAGAAGTTTCCAAAAAGTTGCCAAGCAACTTGTGGAAAGCCCTAACAGGGTAATCAACACAGTTCTGTGTCTTTGCATGTTAGCTGGCATGGTTCTGAATGAGCATGGCAAATTGACTGGGGGAACTCCCATATAAACAGGATGGGGGTGCTCATTGAAAAATTTTGAAAAGAACCCCCAAGAGGTACCAAGATCCTGTTTTGTGGGCGTGGCTTGAAATGTTTTCCACCCTCAAGAGCTACCAATTCTAAAACAACACATTATCTCCTGTCATATTGTTTTTGGTCAAAAGATTATCAAGGTACTTCACAGGTATCGGAAGCTCCCTGGGAGCCGTGAACATTATCATATTACATTGCATAACCACCTTTTTTCCACCTCTAAGAGGTACCAATTCCAAAACAACACATTAACTGACACTGACTTTATTCGGCTCAATACCACAAAAGGTACCATGAAAGCTTCCGCTGTGGACCTTTTCAGGCTGAGCACCCTAAGAGGTGCCAAATCCACTTTTTTTTAAACCCCCAGAGGATATGAAGAGCACCCCCGTCCTTTTTATATGGGAGTTCCCTCCCAACCCAGGCAAACTGATCCAAAACTGAAACCAGCAACAGAACCATGATCACCCCCACTAAGATAACTCAAATGTCCCCTAAGGCTCTCACTGGTTCTTTTTACACATTCTTACACATTACACTTCTAAAGAGAAACATCCCTGTCATAAAGTCTCTGTTTTATAAACATTTAGCAAAAATGCATTGTGCAAAAGTAACATTGCTAACTGAATGGCCAAATGTCTTTAAAAAAGTCAAAATAAGTTTCAATTACTTTCCCAGACTCAAGGTATCGTGGTGTGCATTTCACCAATAAATTATTACTGGAATCTGAGTGCAACATGCAGCCTGTTCAAAGTGTTCTTACATGGTGCGCTTAACAAAATAATTATTGTTTGTCTTCTTTTATTTTTCAACACCCTCTTCACTATTGTATTGATCTAAGCGTATCTTTCACTTTTATTTTACTTTCGAAACAGAAACTGGCAAGCAGCTGTCTGAAGACAACATAGACATAAACCTTGTGAAGACCTTTTTGAAAGGCATTGGCTCCAAATTACTAGAACAGGATGACAAGGGTCCAGTCTACCTGCTCGATCGGTTAAACCTATTAAGAAATATCGGAGACAAAAGTGTTGGTGTCATGCTTAAGCCAGTGTGGGTACCCAGAAATGTAGCCCTGCTGTTCTTTCACCAGAAACCACATGAATTTTTCAGAGGGGCAAGAACTGAAATTGCACTGTACACTCATGATGATGTGACAGATGAAGTGCCGGTAACTGGACCAATTGACCAGCAGATTGATGTGGTCTTGTCTTTCATATTAAAGAGAACAAAAGAAGAAGCTCGCCATGAGTATGTCGCCTATCCAGAGCGAGCTCTTCGCAAGGCAGTTGTGAATGCCTTCTACCATAGAAGCTATGAGCATTGCCACTGTGATCCAATTAAAATTCACATCAAGCCAAACTGCATTGATGTCATTAGTTATCCTGGTCCTAACCCCACTCTCAAGGAGGAACACTTCACAGAGGGCAGTGAAGTTCCATGTGTGCCATCTAGAAACAGAAGAATAGCTGAATTCCTCAAAGACAGGAAATTGGCTGAAGGTCGGTTCACTGGAGTTAGAACCATTTTCAAATCCATGAAGCAGAACAAGAATCCAAAGCCATCCTTTTACTTCAGTTCAGAACACTTTCATGTTCGTCTTCCTGGCCATCCAAAATACATAGCCCATTCGATTCTTCGAGATGTTGACAACCTCTGTGCAAAGGGAGAAAAAGAAGATGCAGTGCAACTTCTCAAGAAATTTCTTGATAAACATCTTTCTGACGAAAATTCATCCATATGCTCTGATATGTTAATTCGTAAACTGCTTGAGCTGCACGAGAATGATGCAACCCACCCAAATGTTCAGAAATATGAAAGCTTCATCTCTGACAAGCTTAAGAGACGCATTCCCCTGATCACAGAACTTTGCAAATGGTGTGTTGCTGAAGAAATGCAGGACATTTCAATTGGTGTTGCATTAGTAAAGAAGCTAGTAGAGGAAGGAGCAACGTGTGAGGATCTGCACTCTGTCATTTCAAAAGCAGTTGCTTTGTGCCAGAAGAGAAGTAATGATGGGCAACAAGTGTTGGAGGCTATCCAAAATGCTCACAAGCTGTTTGAGGCAATGGGTGATTTAACTCAAACAAATGCCTATGTAGCATTCCAATTTGCCTGCTGCAAGTTTAACCTATATGTGAAGAAAGGTCATGGAGATAGGCAACGTAAAGATCTTATAAGCTACCTCAAGGAAGCTGAGGATTATGTCCATAAGGCCACACAGCTAACAAATGATGAATACAAGCATCACTTGGCCATGCAACATCGCCAGCTTGGCTACATCCACTCACAGTTATGTTTAATCCAAAAGTCAACGGAGGAACATATCATAAACAACTTTGATAAGGCTTGTAGATATAACCCTGAAATCAGAATCAGCCCGGTCTTCATTCCACCACAGTACCGTTCTCAGTACATGCCCTCAGGAAACTTGGGCAGTCCAGTGGCTGACTTCTCTTTTGTGTTGTAACAGAACATGACAAACTTGTGTTGTGCAAAGTCATAGTAGAGGCCTCTATTTAGGAGGTTTGAGCACTTTTAATTAATGGCAAATCACTTTGCTTGCCAGAATCCAAGTGAGATGACAGACCAAAATAACAAAGAAAACACTACATACTTCTACTTCATCGTTTTACAGGAATCAGTTTAGTCTGACTTCGCTCTTTCTCGTTTTCACAGCCAGTCAAGTATGGTAATTATTTCTTGACCTTTGCATGAGTTATTTTTCCTCACATTTACAAAATTAAGGCAAAATGATACACAAACAAAGCACATTATATTTTGCCAGATAGCCTTCGTTTTTGTGTTTTATTGTACCATAATCTTGTAAAGTACATAGAAAACAATTTATATATATCCAAATGGTAAACAAGACATTAAGAATTGTTTGTGGAACTATACAATACATGTATGATTCAACAATGCCCAATGCATTGTAAGTGGTTTTAGTATAACAATGTAAGTAATACAAACATTGTATTGAAAGAGTAGTGATAGTACCGTAATAAAATTATAAGTAATAGAACATAATGTAAGTACAGAGCATTCTGTACAAGTATCGTAATGTAGGTGATTTAAGTATCGCATTGTAAGTAACTAGTGTTCTTTCTGTGGAATTATAAAAATAATGAAAAACCAGGTGGCTGGCCTGTTAATTTTGAGAGAAGGGGAGTAGACTAAGGGTTTTTTCCTTTACTCTTGGCAATAACATTTCACTTTTCCATTGTAGGAATTATTTTTGGTAATTACTGCCAAAAAGGTTACATCTACATTCAGTATATTTAAATTTAGCTTGGTTGTGAGGCCTACAGGATACACAGTTAACAAGCACAAATGTTCACTTCTAATTTCCAGGTCCTCTAGGCTTTGCTATCAAGCTCGATTTATATATAGCTAGAGTAGCCTATTTCCCCCCCTCCCCCCCATGGCTCATAACTTAGCAGAAAAAGATGAGATCTTGTTGAAGTGTCTGTTAACTATGACTGTGGTCTGTTCATGGGAGGTCCCACGAGGAAAGAAAAATAGACACTGCAATAATTCAACATTGTTCAATCAGTAAACAGCCAAGTTTGAGCTGTACTGTAGTTTCATTTTGAAGGTAAAGGTATCTAGTACTGCAGCAGTGAACCGCAGGAATGGCATGTACACCCACTGTTTTTTCCAAGGTATTCCTTGCTGGGAAGACAAAAAAATTCTGCCAAACGATTTTCATGTACACCTCTCATGACAGGTCTATCTCAGCTTACAGATAGCTTAACACACAGAATTCTTAAGGTGGCTGAACACAACTTTTCGGAACCATGTTTATTCATAATTTTTCAAACCCCAAAAAGGCAAGATGCAAGCACAGTCTTTGGTAGCCTCCTTTCCAGCTGTTATTAGGGTAATCTTGCAACACTTGGAGAAAGCATTGCATGACAACCCTAATAACGGCTGCAAAGGAGTCTTAGGTGGTTTGATAGTTCAGATGATGATGATGTTGTCATGGCAACATGATCAGATATACAAAATTGGGGTTTGATCATTTATAGAAAATCCAGATTTTATCATCATTTGCATGCAACAACCATGCAACTGAATGCTGTCATGTTAATGCTATTTTAATAATTTTAGTTTTACAGAGATAATTTGTAATTATACTTTGTGTCCTTAGTCAAAGTATGACAGGATTATTAAGAATTCCCTCTGTTAAATATTTATTTCAGGATTTTTTCTTCAAATTCACTTACTTATTTCCGGCAGTATTTTCTTGCCAAATTTCACAAAATTCTAGCAAGTGGTTCTTGAGCAAGAAAGCAATAGCAGCATTCAGTCTTAATTTTCAAACAACAACTCATGCACTGCATTTAACTGGGTTCTTTCAATAATGAAGAAAACCCTGAAAAATTGCTAAGTTCTTTGCATCTTAACATTTGCTAACAAAAATTTAAACCTGTAACACAGTGTCATTTATGAAGAAAATTCGCACAAAGACCCTTGGCATAGAACAAATAAACTCATTGATGTAATGGTGACATGTTTGTTTTGTTTTTGTGATTATTGTGCTTGCACTGAATTGCATTTAACAAGAGCACACCAAAACTGTCTGTGAAATGCCCAGGAGCTCTTAGGGAAGGTTTCACACTATTGCATAACTTCAAACAAATTTATATATCTGATCATAGCTGCTGTTAGTAGAGCTACCAAATAAGATCTGACTGAAATGTCATTCACTGAG